CTGAGTTTCAGCTCCAAGTGCTGGCTATTGTAACTTCGGTCGCACGAGCATCTGCTGGTTTTGAACATCCGAGTCAGCTAGTCAGCTCGTCCAGACTCTTCAGCTTTAGCTGCCTTGGCCTCTTCTTACGGTGAAACTCTGAGCATCAGAGAAGCATTAAGCGGCCTGGTAGGCATCGTGAGTATTGGCTCGACGCCTGTTACATAGACTACATCATCAGCAGCACGAGTTTCGTTGGCATGAGTTTCTTTGGCTTTTCCAGGATCAGCATCAGGTAGTTTCTCCAATCCAGTACAAGCATTACCAGAGGACCAGAATGGATGCAGATGGGACCAGCCAGGCTTGCATCATGAGCATCAGCTTCACGTGCTGAGAAGAGAGTCACGCGCAATCTGAGCATCAGCATCAGCGGCCAAGTCCTGCTTCATAGTTCGGCCAGGCCCGTGGCAGGAACGTTAGCTCATTCGCTCTTGTGTGGCTGGACTCCTTGGATGATGAGCACCGGCATCATCAGCCTACGCATTTAGGAGAGGAATGACAAGCCCAGTGAGTATCATGAGCACTTTTTGCTGTTGCCTTCTCCTCATGTAGTTGCTAGGCAGGCAGCATCAGCATCACCTCGACACGCCTGTTACACGGATCCCGAAGCGAGGGTCGTGGGAAAATATATGCTTTACTAGCTGCTGCGGCTGCCGCTTTTGCTGCTCCTCCCACTCCGACGACGTCGACTCTTAGTTGTACGCTGTGTAGCAATGCTTCGAGGCCCCCAGGCTTATGAGCCGCGTCAGGAACCTTTGCAGCCCGAAGTCAAGAGCTGCAGGTTGTTCCTAAACTCCATGCCCGGATCTCCAAGGGACTACAGCGTGGCGCATCTCACCATCAACTACACCGGCGTGCCGCCCTTTGCGCCGTGCCAGAGCCTCTCGGAGCCTCCTGGTTCGCCGGAGCCTCCCGGCTTCTAATCCGGCCTCGAAGGGCTCGGAGAAAAATTAAAGTTCTAGGGCTACACGACATGGTAATTAGGCAAATTCCTGACGCATGATAAGTTTGGGGGAGAGTGTGGTGAATGCAAGTATGTCATGTGTACATGTGTTGACCCATGGAAACCCACACACACATATATATGTATATGTATGTACAGATATTTATTTATATACACACGTACAATTTGTTTAACTCGTTTATGTGACAAGTTTGGAGCTCAAGATGCGCCCAAGCATGCAAGGCGACACACAACCAAGCCCACGAGCTTCGAACAACAGGGCAAAGACGAAGCCGTGAAGTAGTTAAGCATGAAATCAGCTCAGGTACATGGATGCGTTGTATGGCGATCTTCCCAAGAATCTCGGAGCCATTCAACGGGTTGAGGGCGCAAGTTTCAAGCACGTCTTACGGTAACTGCCCCGAATTGCTGTGGGCAGCTGAGGAATGTGAATGTGACAGCATGCCAAGCCTCATGCTGCCTCCACACTGCAGCGAATGCACGCTAATTCTGGTTGCGCTGGGTGCATTGTCGCTGGGATTTTGCGTGCGACTTCCACTTAAATGTGGCAAGTGATGCTGTGAAGAGTGTGGCCCCTCGTGGCGTGGCCCTCGTTTGTGCTGCCAGATGGCAGCGCGGTGTTCGCAAGAAAAGGCTCAACGGGCACATCTCCCGCTAGTTTGGCCCACACCTTGAGCCCGCTGGTAGGCTACCACCTGAGAGTCCGAGAGTTTAACCGAAGCTACAAGCCAGGCCTTTCGTTGCGGACCTGGCGACGCATGTTGCAGACGCCACCATGTGAAGTAAGGAATATGCAGGATGCATGGAGGAAGGTCTGAAAGGGGCAACAGGGTAACGGGTGTTCGAGACAGATCTGCTGTAGCTGTTGCCTGCTATTCCTGTCTGCCGCTGTTAACATTGGCAGTTATGATTCCGTGAAGCTGAAGCCCAAGTTCATGAAGCCTTCCCAGGCCGAGAAGTTGTTTCCCGAGCCAATGCCAGACCCTGGTCTGCAAAGCATCCAAGAAACCCTAAGCCCAAAACCTACTTCTGCAGACCTTGCCAGGCTTGTCCGAGAGTGAGTGTCAAAAAAAACCCAAGACACACGCAAGCCAAGGCCTTCAGCCTCGACGTAAAAGCCCTAAGTTCCCGAAGCCTATTGCTCGGCCCTAACAGCCCCCATGCCCCCCAAACCCTCATTGCGCCCCTTAAATGCTAACCTTTGAAAACAAACCCAAGAGCCTATTTTATCGCATGAGATTTAACACATTATGTTCCTTTCTGTTTTGTAATACCCACAGAAATCTCGGATGACGCGCTGGCATGGCCCGAGCGGTGTCGCGCGCAGCCTCCGAGGCCTTGTCTCAGAGGGCTGATCTAGGGTTTTACCAGGGTGAGGGTATTAGTAAGAACCTAGAAATGGCTTCTATCGGGCAATTACGGGTTGTATGGGTTGTAGGAGGCGGACTTGGGGCAGTTTAGGATTTGGACTGAGTTGCGTTGGTAGAAGAGTCTCAAGAAGTCGAACTTTCTTGTAAACTGTAATTACTCTATTACAGTGGTCCTTACATGAAGGCTTACAAAACTGCAATTAGCAGCTGGGGAGGCCCGGTCTCATTGTTCAGATTCGACGATAAGTCATTTCTACATGATTAAAATTTCAGCTTAAGGTTGGGTGTATACATACATGTATACATACATACATACATACATACATACATCCGTACATCCATGCATACATATATCCATAGGTACGTACATACATAAAGTGTTGCTCTCTTTGTCTGTACACGCACACAGACAAACACACGTGTATATGTATATGTATATATATATATATAAGCATGCATATGCACATCTGTACTCACACACACATACATACATATGTATGAATGTATGTAACACATATGTATGCAGTATAGATGTACAGAGGTTGGGTGTTTGTTCTCTCGGTCTCACGATGAGGCGCAGTTTTCAGGCTTCGGGGCTTTAGGGTTGCGATTCTCGTACATCGGACAGAGGACCGACTCGAATCATGAGCCCTGAGGGTTTGGGTTTCGTATTGAACTGTTCGGAGCCCTGGGAAACTTAAGAGCGTGTGGGCTTTCTGAGAGTTGCATGCTGTGGAGGGTGGTACCTTGCAGCTGGTTTGCGTTGATACTTTCAGGCCTTCGGGCTCTGATGTGTTAGTGGTCTGGGGATTCATCCAAGAACATGGTGAATTACCGCATGTACTTCGAGGCCCGAAGCCACAGACACAGTACCAGAAGTCGAGACCAGGATTGTTCGTTTCATTCCTGTCAAGTGTGTCATTTTGTCATAGTTTTGTTATCTTGAATCTTGTTGTATCATGTTCAATTGCTTTCTATTGTATTGTAATCTGTTCTGATTCTCATCCTAATTTTACTTTTGATTCTGTTCTGTTCCATTACATGATGCTTTTGACTGGTTGTAGCATTCCATATCATGTTAAAGCCGGTGCTTCGTCAACAGATGTAGCCTGGTCCTTTAAGACCTGTCTGGTTGGCTCAGATATTTGTCGGCATCGAGAGTGTCTTCTTTCTCAGTACTGTCATCGTGGTCTTCGTGAGGCTGAGTAATGCTTTGTTTTCTCACCTTCTTGTTTTCAACTGTGATTGGTGTGCAACTTGTCGCACTGCCGCTTGCTGCTTGAATCGCACATCGAGAGCACTTTTCATCACGCAGCATCCTTATGGTAACTCTTCCAGGGAAGCCTACCTGAGGGCTTGAACCACTGGTGAGACCCGACTTCTGCATCTTCAGGGATCATGACTCGGTTTGTCCTCGGCCCGACCAAGCTAAGTAGAGACACTTCCAGAACAGCCAGTAGGCTGAAATCAGGCCGCCGTTCGACGCGGCATCAGCTGCTACTATCATAACTAAGTGACCAAAATCAGTTTGAGCTTTTGCTCCCATCATCTTATCGCACCATGGCACGTCGAGCTCTTCATGCCGTGGCCGCATGCTTCCTGGTTCTTGGTGCCGCAATGCAGATTTTTTCGCGGTAGCTTGAGCAGTTTCGTAAGCTGAGGTCCCCAAAGCAAGCTCAGCAAAAATTACACTGCAGCTGACGGAAGGTGATAATTTAGAATGTGAGCAAAAACTGAGAGTGGTGGTAGGCTGACAAGACACGATAGTATAAGCCCACACAGAATGATATTCCTCTTCGAAGTCACTTCAATGCATGTTTAGACTCGTTCTCGAACTCATGAGTTCTGCCAGGCATATCCTCGACAGAGGGCTTGCAATCCATTTCATGTGGGAGCCCAGCAGCAAGAGCACATCCATCTACATATATACGGTTGCATATATACATGTTTAGACATATGTGAAAAGAATAAATGCAATACACACATGGGTAAACACACACACACACACACACACATGTTTATATGTATGTATATATACCTGCGTCTCTACATGTATATGCACACAGACATTATATATATATATATATACATACATGTACACACATGCACATCTACGCATACACTACATAGATACATACATACATACATCCATCCATCCATGCATGCTTATGTGCATACATGCGTACAGGCATGCATACATACATGCATACATACATACACATCCGCTTTTATACACATGTATAGATATATACATGGATACAGACCTGTATGTAGTTCCCATTTGATAAAGGCTGCGATACTATGCTGTGTCATGTAGACACAGCTTCTACTTGAGTGTCTACATATGCACACAGACACATACATAGGCGTGTGCTAGAGCATGTGGAGTAGTGTCAGCTTTCGCCGAAGCCGAAGCCGAACGCTCCTGGCGGCTCCAGGTCACCCGGCCGGTCCTGGCAGTAGCCAAGCACAAGACGTGCCTGAGTACCTTTTTCCAATTTAAGCCTCGGGTCCGTGCCATGATTCCCAACACCATCGCCAAGAAGTGCTCCTTGGTCCGTGGCATGGGTGCTGCGCATCGCCTAGCCGGCCTAGCATGTGCTCCTCAACAGTCTGCGGCTCAGGCCATGGCCACATGCTCTACCACAAAGTCGGCATCGTCAAGCCAGGAGGTCTCTCTCATCGCACGGGTCAAGGACGCTGCAGCCAATGCCGCCGCAGAGACGTGCTCAGCGGCGATGCTGCAAGCTTCGGCAACCTTCGGCACTGCCACAGCTCGGAGCACTCCGGCACCGGCTCCTCGCTCTGGGCTCGCCATGGGGCGATGCTCAGTCCGAGCGTCGACATCACCTCGCAGCGTCCTCGGCGCCACGCGGGGAATGAAAATTGCCACCGCACGTCCCGTCAACGATGGGAAGCAGGTTGACATCCAGTTCGCAGATGAGAGTGCCTACAGATTCCACACTGCGTGGATCAAGGATTCCCACCCTAGTCTCATCGGCAGCGACTTCTACCGCAAGTCCGCGCAAACCCTCTTCGAAAGCGACCAGTACACCGTCGACACGGCCGCGCCAAGCTCAGATGGCTCCAAGTTGCAGGTCCACTTCAAGAATGGAGTCCCCGGGAATGCGGTGACCGAGGAGTACGTGTCAACCTGGCTGCACGCTTTTGCCCCTTATGTGGGACAGCCCCTGAATGACTCACAGGCAGCTCGGAGCTCAAACGCCGGGCTTCCGGGCACCGGCTCCTTGTTGGAAGACCTCTACCGCAATCGAAAGCCCTGGGACAGCACTTTGGACATGCCCCGGTTCGATGGCCAGCAGATGCTCAAGGACGAAGACATGCAGATTGAGTTCCTTTGTCATAGTTGGGTAGCATTTTACATTTTTACGGGTACGTAAACCCAAGCCAATAAGGAATACAAACATACACTTTTGATCCTATTCCAACAGTGATCTAGGTTCCTTGAGAGAATGATGGATCCCGGGGTTGCTCTCGTTGAGAACATTGGGAAGCCCGAGAGCTTTGACCATGTCGACTGCGGCAAGCCGCTCGAGGACTTCGTCGCGCAAGTCGTCGGCCGATTAAACCAGCATCCCGTTCGGGCTACCCGATTTGGCGTGATTCACACTCAGGCTCGCGGGGAGCAGGCGGGCGCGGACTACGACCACAAGAACCCGCTTTCGATGCATACAGACCACTCCGTCTATCACGGCACTCCTGGGTACCTCCAGTTTATGTACCAGGCGAGAGGGTCGGTGAGATCGAAGGTGGTGGATGGCCTCATGGTCGCCGAGTACCTTCGCAAGAACCACCCAGAAGACTACGAGCTGCTGACGAAGGTCAACCTCACTCACAGCAGCAGGAACAACATCTATGCGAAGAGCGGGGTCTACCGGCGTGATGCCCAAGACGCCAACGACGCCGAGGGCTTCACCTTCGAGCTAGTGCACACTCACCCAGTGCTGACCTTGGACAAGGATGGCCTCCTCGAGAAAGTCGTCCAGTCTGAGACAAAGCGAGGGGTGTCTGCACTGCCCTTTGATGTCTACGACAGATACATGCAGGCCTACAAGAGGTGGACGGCTTTGTTGGAAGAGCCCAGGTTCAAGCGTTCCTTCGACTGGCCAGAGCACTCCATGATCGTGATGAACAACTGGCGCATTCTCCACAGCCGCGCGGAAGTGGACCCCGGTGTCCAGCGGACGATGGTCTTTGCCTACGTCATGAAGACCATCTACGAGAATCGCCATCGTCTGCTGAAGCAACGGCAGGCAGAGAGAAAGAACCCCGACATAAATGACCGTTGGCTCTGCCGACTGCCGAATCAGATCCTGTCCTCGCTGGTCAACTGAGTTGATCGGCTATGCACGTTCTTCATCCAGAAGTTTGTTCTGGATCATGCGCACCTGGTTTTTGATTTTGCTTAGATGTTTCAGGCGAGCATAAGGCCAGCCGTGACCGCTCAAGAGCACTACTCACCACTCAAATCACGTACTGACGAGCGGGCTCTTGGGCGATGCGGCTGCGACTATCTGCGACAGGAAGCGGGCACTGCCTTAGTGTCAGTGTGAAACTTTCTGTCCTAGCTTTTTTCCATCCATTGAGGTGTATATGTTTGTGAATATGCTTGGGCTGGGCATGTCTCAAGGGATAGGCTTCATGCAGCGTTTGGCAACGAATGCGGTTGACCAGTGGGTCTGCTCAGAGGCTTGATGCCTAGCCCACACGACTAGAGGAACGCGAGATCGCTTCTCTGTCGTCGTTTTGCACCATCGCACAGATCTGAGCAAGATTCCAAAAAACCCAGATTCAATATCCAAGAAAGCAGTACAACTTCAGGACCAGGAACTTACATAGTCGACCCTACTGCTGCCGTGCATTTCTATCGGGATCGTTGGCCGCTGACCTGTCATGCACGTCGCAAGGGCTGCCTGCGAAGGCCTAGCAGCGCGGCTCTTGCAAAAACCCGTGGACCTCCCCGGATTCCTGTCATTACCCATAGGCCCCAAAGTAGTTCCTTCTTGGGGTTCATATTTAGAACCCTGTAAGGTAATCCCAAAAAGGAACTACTATGGGGCCTATGGGTATGTGCTTCAGAGCCCAAACGCCTTGCGGCGGTGTAGCAGGCGAATTAGCATCAGTGGTGACGCTGAATGGCATCAGCAGCAGCAGAAGCGGTTGTCGTCGTAGTAGTCGTCTTCCTGGTAGTGGTAGTTTCAGTAGAAGCAGTAGTGGTAGGAGGGCTCCAATTAAACGCTCAAATATGTTTCAACTAATAGGCGTTCCTCATGAACAAGCTTGAGGGCGGACCCGGTAGAGGCGCTGCAGACCGGATGCAAAAGTAGTAGTAGTAGTAGTAGTAGTAGTAGTAGTAGTAGTAGTAGTAGTAGTAGTAGTAGTAGTAGCAGCAGCAGTAGCAGCAGCAGCAGGAGTAGTAGTAGTAGTAGTAGTAGTAGTAGCAGCAGTAGCAGTAGCTTTCGACAGGATTGGATCCGGAGACCCACACCTTATGTCAGGACCACAAGAAGCGATCGCGCCGGCAAGTCCTCTCAAGTGTCAGTCTTTGCACCCGTACGGCAGAAAAACTCCCTAGCCGAACTAAGCGCTTCAATGAGGGGCCCGGACGTCCTTCTTCTGATCGCTGAGATATATCGTTTCCTAGTGGACCGCCAGAATTTGGCGCACGACTCAACGGCAGTTTCTGTGTTGAATGGGTCAGCCTAGCCTGGAACTGTTATGTTTATGACCAGCTCCCGAGTCTGAAAGCCAGTGGAAGACCGGAAGACCCTCAGAGAACTGCCGCAAAAGACTTTGCCCCAAGTGATCGCGACTCCGACAAAAATGCTCGACGTTTTCTGTCGGAAGTAGTGGTTGAAGCGGTTGTCCAGTCTGCGAGATCTGCGCCAGCACATCAGCTGCGTCCGCACAGCCTTAAAAACTGGACCCTGTAAGCCCTACTGTCGTCGTTCCGAGGTTTGGCTGCTTTCTGCCTTCATGCGGCTTGGACCAAGCTTACGGTGCGACAAGCTGGGGAATCTCCACGCGTGCGAGCTGTGCAGGTTCTTGCCCAGCGCGCGCGCGCGCTGCGATCACACGTGCGCCGGCATGCATGCGTGCGTGTCGCCATCTTCAGCGATCTTCACACAGATGCAAGTTCCACGCTAAAGAGGCAACAACCAAGCAAATCTGCAATTTAAAAAGCCGACAAGGGGTGCATAGGCCGAAAAATCCTTAAAATCCCACCCGAAACCCTGAAGCCCCAAAGCCGCCAACCGAGGCCATCAGCCTTTGCCCGGCTCCTCGATGCGCAACTGGGTTTAAGTTACCATAGTAGGGATCTACAGTACTTTTTGGTTCCGTATTGATCTACCATAATTGGGATTTATCGTAAACAGTTAGTGGCAATGATCAGTATGGTTCCGTATTATGGAAGCTTAAATTAATCCCGTAAAGTGAATAATTAATGTGGTTCCGTATTAAGCTACCATAATTGGGATTTATCGTAAACAAGTGAAATGATCAATATGGTTCCTTATTATGGAAGCTTAAATTAAATCCCTAAACCCTTAAAGGAACCCTTATAGAGCCCTTAAAGGAACACTTAAAGGAATCCTAAACTCTTGCAACGTAAATCAAGTCCTTTAACAAGAACCCAGGCAAGCGCTCCAGAGCCTACTCCCGGGGGGCGCAGGCCCTTCGCAGGACCGGCCCAAGGCTCGGCTTGCCTCTGACAAGTCTCTGCAGAAGCCTGAACAACAATACTGTTGATGATATAAATCCTGCATTGCCCATCATAAGGAATATACCATAATTCCCATAGCCTATGGTCCTTAAGGTAGTGCAGGATTTATATCATCAAATGTAGTAATCACAACAATAGAAGGAATGGCAATAAATAGCAATAGCAATAACGTGCAATCGTCATGTGTGCTGGCATCTAACAAGCCCATTGCTTTTCAAAAGCAATCGTAGTCAACAACGACAACAAAAATCGCAATAGTGCTGAGAGAGAAGTAAAAGCATGATCGTAGTAATAGGGTTGCTTTGAGTGCTCTACAACTGAATGAGTTCAATAGGTTCTTCAAGAACTCGATAACTAAAGGCTTTCTGGCTTTGGGGTCAGTGTTGAAGCCTGAATCATTGCCAATACTAACTCAATTCAAAACTATTTCTTTTTTGACTCCATTGTACCTGTTAAGGCTACAGTTTTACATAAACGATTGAATAAAGGTAAAGCGAAGACAAGGCATGACAACAAGTTCTGATATGTTTCGTTTTCATGTTAAACGAAATGTGTGACAATGTGTGAATTAGGTTTAGTGTAACACAGTTCTAGTTCTTCTTACATGTGTTTCCATATAGACGGAGAGCAGCGTGTTTGCTGCATTCGCTGTTGTATACAATGAGCCGCACCCAAACCCCAGCCTCCCTGAAACCTTAAGCCCTCAAACCCAAACCCTAAAACCCCTAAACCCCCAGCGTTCCGAGCCCTCCCTTCTTCGGAACTTCTTCGAAAGTGCTCTCAAAGGTCCGAAAACGAAGACGCTTCGCCCCCGAATCGCCTGCAGAGCGCCTCCTTTGGACACTAGGCCGGACCTCGCAAAATACCATTAAATGCAAGAGTGTGTGTGTATATATATATATATAGATTTATAGACATATGTATGTCTGTTTTCATGTAGATATGCACACACAGAGCGCGCACACACACACACACACACACACACACACACACACACTCGCTCGCTCTAGCTCCAGCTTTCTGTCTGTCTCTCTCTCTCTCGGTCTCGCGCTCGCTCTGGCTCTCGGTCTCGCCCTGCCGCTCGCTCTCTTTCTGTCTCACGCTCTCTCTCTCTCTCTCTCTCTCGCTCTGTCTCTTTGTCCCTCTATGCTTCTCTGTCTCTCTTTCTCTGTTTCTCTCTGCTTCTGTTTCTTTTTCTCTATTCATATATGTATTCATGTATTCAGGCGTGCAGACACACGCACACGCACGCGCGCGCACACGCACACACACACACACACACACACACACACACACACACACACACCACACACACACACACACACACACACACACACACACACACACACACACACACACACACACACACACACACACACACACACACACACACACACACACACACACACACACACACACACACACACACACACACACACACACACACACACACACACACACACACACACACACACACCACACACACACACACACACACACACACACACACACACACACACACACACACACACACACACACACACACCACACACACACACACCACACACACACACACACCAACAACACAACACACACACACACACACACACCAACAAAACCACACACACACACACACACCACACACACACACACACACACACACACACACACACACACACACACACACACACACACACACACACACACACAGACACACACACACAACACACACACACAGACACACACAGACACACACAGACACACACAGACACACACAGACACACACACACAGACACACACACAGACACACACACACACAGACACACACACAGACACAGACACACACACAGACACAGACACACACACACACAGACACACACACAGACACAGACACAGACACACACACACACACAGACAGACACACACAGACAGACACACACACACACACAGACAGACACACACACAGACAGACACACACACACACACACACAGACACACACACATACACAGACACAGACACACAGACACAGACGCACAGACACAGACGCACAGACACAGACACACACAGACAGACGCACACACACACAGACGCACACACACAGACACAGACACACAGACACACAGACACACAGACACACAGACACACACACACACACACACACACACACACACACACACACTCACTCACTCACTCACTCACTCACACACACTCACACACTCACATGCTTGCATGCATGCAGGCATGCAGGCATATGCATATGCATGCATATCCCGCTAGAACCAGGTTGTGAGCTGTGGTCAGCCGGTCGCGACATGGCTCTGGCTGGTGGCTCCGTGGCCAAGGGGGACCGCAGCTTGGGCGTTGGATTTGAGGCTTAGAGTTCATGGTTTCATTGAGCTCTTTGGGTTCAAACACGATTGATTTGGGGTGCAGGTTTAAGTTTGGGGTTTTAAGACGGTTAAGGCTGCCTCGAAGTTTGGGGGTATCGGTATGGCTTTAATTGCTACGTGGCATACGAGGTTGAGGATGTGGGGACGATGTTTTGTTGGATGTGCTCCTGCAAATTGTGCCTTGGATGTCAGTGCTTCGTGGTGTTGCATGTCAGAAAGAAATAAGAACTTGTGAGTGACTCGGCGTCAACTTGAGCACCCACCGACGTCATACTGTACCGGAATGCAACAGTTCATGCTCATTAACCCGCTTCAGCAGGGGAATATGCGGTGTATAAAAAGTACTATAGTATAATATAGACGATATAAAATGTAGCCAATAATGTGGACTTTAGCATACAATACGCATGATACCTCCTAGCCCAATCATGTGAACATCCGACCCCGTGCTCTTCAGCGAAGTGTTGACACCGGGCTGTGGAGCTTGGGATCTTGGGGCGACTGTTGGAAAAGGCAAGTTCTCGCCAGGCCACGGCAAGGCTGCAGTGCGATTGCTATGAAATTTCCCGGCATCTACAGCTGTTCGTAAGTTTGAAGGGCATCTTCGAGATGGAAGGTCGGGTCCTCTGAACTCTATAAACCCTAAAACCTAGTGTGGGCGCCGAAACCCCTAAACCCTCAAGTCCAACCCTGAACTCAAGTTTGCGGCACGCAGGAGATTGGCGCTGCGCCGCCGGAGTTTCTGTCTGGACCGACGGGCACGACGTGACCTGATGAATTTTGTCCAGGGAAGTTCGTAGAAAAATTGTCTGAGGCAACGCAGCACAGTCTAACCCTGGTAGTGAGAATCGTGCTGGCGTGTGAAGGGTCACGGTGATGGGCTCGAGTCGATGATGTGAATGTGCAGCGAATGAGGTCCCATCTGCCAACTGTCCTCGGGCAGGGTGGAAGTGCGTTGCAGGACGCCGCTCAGGGTGGCCGCGCTTGTGCCATGTGGGAGTTTCCGAAAATAGGGGACCCTAATGATTTAATGTAGTACCCTAAATAGTAGGATCCTTGTAAGGACCCCAAAATAAGGTACCCCAATTTTCGGAAACTCCCATGTCGCAGACGTTTCTTTGCCAGAACCGCAGACGTGACTTCTCCTGTGTTGTGTTCTCAAGCATTAGACCGGCGAGACGGCCACGGAATGGAGCAAGACTGTAATAACTTTTTACTATAATATACTATAATATACTATAATATACTATAATATCCTATAATATACTATAATATCCTATAATATACCTGGGCATCCGAGAGAGTTTACTGACCTGACCATGCGATGCGGATTGAATCGGCTCCCGTAAGTTTGCAAAGCTCTCCTAGATCAAGATCCTTATTTCACTTCGCATCGCTTCCCCACGCCGGCTTCGCGATGCCCCGGGCACTCCCACGCGTCAAGAGCCGATTACGATGCCTAGCCCTGGCTCTCACCGCAAGCTGCCTCCTGTCGCAGAGAAACGCAGAGGCGGTGCGGGCCTTGTCCGGGTTCGGCCGCGGAGGGACGGTTTTACGTCGTTGTTGTTGGGGTTTCACGCTCTGGGGGTCTTTAGTGCTTCTAGGGATTCTGGAGAGTTTGCGGGTTTTAGAGTCCGGAGCTTTGATGCAAAGCCACAGAGGTTGAGCATGGACGTGCTCGCTTTGCCGGGCTTGTGTAGAGGGTTGCATGTGCTATAGCTATGTGCTCTTCCAGAGGGAGATCAGTCAGTAGTAGAGACTGGCTTCAAGAAACGGGTGCAAACGAGACTTTGGTTGAGGACTGTGCTGCGAGTGTAATTACTGCAGATGCGGTGTGCATACTATCATAAGGAAAGGAGCCATTACAGGAACCCCTAGAAGAACCTTAAATCAGAAGTTGTTTTCGCAAGAAAGTATGGCATCGTTGTTTGCATTGCAGCGATATGGGATGGCTAGCATGTGACTGCTCGTGTCATACCGCTGTGCGGGTACTAGGGAGAAAAGGGTTACAACAGCAGCGCAGGTGTATTCAATAGCTTCAACGAGGACCACATCACGGCACAGGATAGTATAGGGGTCTGCAGACTTGAAGAACCATAGTCATGCCATCCCCTATAGATAAGTGCTTTACATCTATAGTATAGCCTTTGGCAACTCCTCCATGTGCCCCCAAAGCTCTCGGGCCGAAAAGCTTCGCCTCCTTGGATCTCCGATAGTTCATAGTGGCTAGCGGGGCTTTGCGGCTTTGGGTGTAATGTGTAATCTTTGTTTTCGCCTAAAGCCCAGGAACTCTTCGGGATTTCTGGATTGGGGATGTTTCAGGCCCTCCTGCGTGGCCTCCCCTGGCGGCTCATCCCGCGGCTGCTCGCGAGAGCGGATCGGCCCATGCAGCCAGGCCTCGGAATGCTTGCAACCCCTAGGGAAGAGCAGGGCCCAGCTGGAGTTTTTGGCTTTGCGCCTTGTTTGTGCTTGGGGTACCACACACCACTCCAATGGGAAGGGGTTGCATGCACAGAGCTTTAAGCACTTAAGCGACTATCCAGAGAAAATGTATGCAACTTCCGGATGCTGGCAGCTTGCACTCATCGGCTTTGAACCTTGCCATGCCGGTTTCTGGTTTGACACCTGGAGTTTTGTGAAACCGCCTTTAGGAACTTTTGCATAACCGTAACCCAGAAGGCGGTCCCGACAGAATTGTGGCGCACCGGCATCCGCCCGTATCGCGACCCACGCCACGCGGGCGCGAAGTTCGCGTGATTGAACGAAGGCCTTTGAGTGGTCGGTAACACCCTGAACAAACATAGGCTCGTTCTGAAGTTTGAGGTTTCGGGCAAACTTAGATGTCGGCCGCGAAGACGAGCAGCGATGAAGCTGTATCTGTACAGGCAGTACTCAGTACGGCAACAGCCGTAATTCGATTAATAGGCACAGTGCTAGGTGGCATCGGCAGAGGAGAAGCCATTACAAGGTGTCCAGACATCGGTTCGTAACTCATTGAGGATCGGCCATTGCCTTCGTGGTGCCAGAAGACGGACAGTTCTTGCCAACCTTTGAGCTTTAAGCGTGACACTGCTTTCTTTTCGCACGCCCTGAGTCGTATGAGTTTTGTCCTTACACAAGCGATTCACGAATAGCTGAAAAATGGCTGTATCATGATATTATCATGATACAGCCATTTTTCAGAGGTTTCATGTACATGCATGGGCATAGCGTATCTTCTTAATGTATAGCATTGCAAAGCCATGTAACACCCTGTGCACGGCTGGATCATACCCTTCTGAATTCAGCCGTTCTCGAGGCCTTCTTCAGCCAGAGGTTGCCTCATCCGGGAGTTCAGATCGTTACTGTGCTGAGAAGCATGCAGTTTTGGTAGATACGATGGGTACTGACCAGATCTGAGGGTGGCTTCTGTCGGGATGCTTACAACAGGGAGGAATGGGTGTACTTTTGCTGCTGTTGGTGCTTCTTTTGCTGTTGTTCATTCTTCTACCGCTGAAGCGCCTGCAAACCAGCAAGTGAGTGACGGCCAGTTCGGCAACAGCAGCAACAACGAACACCCCCACCCCCACCGACAGCAAAAACGCACCAACAGCAAAAGCACAAAACTCTCTTACCGTCATAAGTATTGTGATGAATAGGCAGAGGCCTCTCTTATCTTCTGGAACTCTGATCTAGACCTCCCGAAAGAGTCTAGTTTCCGCCTTCTGTCTCGAGTCTACTGCCCAAAAAGATCCGCGTTGTTTTTTGAGAAGCTGGGGTTTTAGCCATGGGGAGTTTAGGATTTCTTCTTTCTGCGTTACCAATTTCGTTCCTGGGGGTTCCTTAGCTTCACAATAATATCTCGTCACACATATCAGTCACGCCTCCGAATAAACAAACGAGCAAGATGCTTGCCTGCAACCATCATTCAGCCTAACCATCAAGCCATCACTTAACTACCTTAGAAGACGAAATTCGACAGCCGCAGCAGGAGCCACAATCTTATGCCTTACGCCTAAAACCCTGAGCCACAGGCTGCAGTGGATGCCAACAGGAGAGCTGATGACTAGGTGTGCGCTTTGAATTCTGCTGCGAGGGTCGCGCGAAAAGCCCACCTCTACATCCGCTAGCCCAGGAATTTTGCCGCAACAACGAACCTAACCCGGAACCCTTAGAACATCCTCTTAAAGATCCCTAACGCCCCCCAAAGGGGCCCGAAACCCAAAAGTTGCCCCAAAGCTCCAAAGCATCCAAGCCGAGGCTTCCTGGTTGCAGGGGTTCCGAGAGAGGAGGTGTCGCGAGTGGCAGAGCTGACAGCAGAAGTGGCGGCCGTTGGAGAGGACGTCGGGTTCTTGTTACTGTAAGGGCTTAAGTTCAATTACCAGAAGAAGGAAACCACATTAGTTCTTTACCATGGATCGCTATGAATATTTACGGTCTCCTTAATTCAGCTCCTTAACAAGAACATACAAGAACCCAGTTTAGGAATCATGGGGTTTAGGATGTCGGGTTTAGGGTTTTCATCAGTCCTGATGCAAAACAGAGTGTAGGGTTTATAGGCTTTGGGAAGGACCGCCGCCCTCGGCATTACCGGCGATGGTGATTTATCGGGCTTCGCGCAAGCCGACTTAGAACCAATCTTTTGCAGGGGCCCGATTCCCTTTGGGACATTGAACCCTGCACAACGAAACATTTTGTCACTCCCCCTAAACCCCAAACTCTAAACCTATTGCTTGGCTCACAAATTTCACCTACAGATGAGCTCACTGTCAGTAGCTGTACTGTCAACTTAGAAAGTTCTTGCAATGTTCATTGCTCCCTCGTGGCGCCTAACTGATCTAGGCCTCCCAGTGAGCCCTTTTTCCCTTTCTGTAGTCCCAGGTCCCTTATACAGTTCCCCAATACCAAAAAGGGAGCCCTTTTTATTCCTAGGTTACTGAGCATCACGGTTTAGGGTTTAGGGTTTGGCATCCTAGTGATTGTCAGCTATGAGTTCCGACTCGTCCAAGCACACAGCACCAGAGACCTCGTCAGGTCCGAGTTGCGAGAGCGTAAACTCTAAACCTACTTCCTCAGACCTCGCCAGGTTTGTCCGAGAGAGTGAGTGTCAAAAAAACCCCTAAACCCTAAACCCTAACCCTTTTTTGGCTCATTTTGCCCCGTGGAGGAGCCTCTTTCGGACCCCCTGACTCTGCTCCGCTTCCTTAGGCACCGGGGGGTTTTCGGGTACTGTGGGGTAGCAGTAATAATTAGAATTAGGGTTTGGAGGCTCCTTATTCAATTGATGGTATAGTTGGGTAATGTGGGGTATAAGAATTAGAATAGAATTTTGGGGTCCTTATTATAATAATGGTATACTATGCCCCCAAACCCTAGTCCGATTGTTAATCGGCTGCAGGGTTTGAGCAGGTCGGCCTTCGCCGGGCACGCGTCTTATCTGTTTGCCCCCTACTTACCCATAGGCCCCAAAGTAGTTCCTTTTTGGGATTACCTTACAGTATAGGATTCTATATATGAACCCCAAAAAGGAACTACTTTGGGGCCTTTGGGTAATGATGTTCATAACATGTTCGGCCCGCCTCCCTGTATGCACAGTTGGTTAGTTCAATTTGTAGCTGCATGCAGACGCTCGGCTTTGGTTTGTAAACTCTAAGAGGTCGCAACCTAGGACTGTTCAGTATCTACTTCATATATCTGTGGGGCCTTGAATTGCTAGTGTTGCCCGAGAAGCTCGACACAGACACAAGCGGCAAGCGGGTCAGCTGCACTGTGCCCAACATGCATCACGGCACCCTTCGTGCGCACCGTGCCTACCACATGCAAACGCAACACGGGAAAGCCTTCAGTCACTGCTGCGATTGCTGCTCCGACCGTCTATGATTTGGGATTGCGTTGTAGAGGGCACAGGAGTTGGAAATTCTTATGGGTCTCATGGAGGCATTTATCCGATCTGCGACTTCGCTTGGTTTAGGATCCACATGACTCGCACAACTTGAAACCGGAGACCCAAAC